TAGAAGTGGAAGAGGTAGAAGTGGAAGAGGTAGAAGTGGAAGAGGTAGAAGGGGTAGGGCTAGGGGGCTGCCCTCGGCCTATTATGTCGGGGTCCTGTTCTATCTGATTATAAACGTGTAGAATATAGAAGGTCTATAGATAATAAACCTCTATAATCTGCGCGTTTATATCGTCTAGAAGGTTGTCGCGGTGTGAGAAGTCGATACTAGAGCCCTTTCTTATAGAAGTAATGACCCTAGGCTTTATAGGGGAAAATTGAGTTTTTTAGGATATAAGTGTGACGGTATAGAAAGTAGGGTGGTTCCGAATAAGCCACCCTTCTAGTATTAAGACGCAGGCTGGTTCCTGAATAAGGCCTATATTAGCCGAAGCCTTTAAAGCCTATTCCAGGATAGCCTTTTACGCCAGGGCCTGTTTATCGACGTTGTGTTAAATAAACCGGATATCTTTCGAACTAAAAGGCCCTTTATTTATAGAATTTAGGGTTTTATAGCTCGAAAGACCTTATAGTTCCTGCTAAAAGGAGGGTAATCTCCCTCGTAGTTATAGCATTTATAGGTCTTATACTCGTAGTCTCCGTATTCTTTATACTCGTTACAGTAGTGGTATTCCTCCCTATCGCCTTTAACGGCACAGATAAGGCAGGTAACTAGGTATTTACAGGTCCCCCGGGTATACCCGAACTTCTAGCACTTAGAGCACTAGGTTCTAGGGGTTATAGGCCTATATTTATAGACCTTTAGCCACTGGCCAGCTATATAAAGTCCCTATTTTAGGCAGTACTTCTATTCTTTAGTGGAGGGCATAAAAATAACCACTATATAGTAAAACGCGTTTAGAACCCCTAGCCACTAAGGCTTCCCTACTACCCTAATAGGGTTAAAGGTACTGATTTCAGTGGCTAGGTCCTATAGACCTAGGCCCTGTTATAGGCTTCGGTTTAGGGCCTTTTACCGCGGCTCGGAACGGTCGGGTAGAGGGGTATCGCTACCCCTAGCTCTAAAGGCTCTAGAAGGCACCTATTTAATAATAAGTTTAAACTAGTCGCCTATAGGCTAGGGGGGCTAGAGAGGGAGGTTTAGCTCTTTAAACCACTAATTCTACGAGTCTAGGAGCTATTAAACGCTATAACTCGCCCTCGGGGTTAAAATAAGGTTCCTGTTAGTCGACCGGCTAATAGCCGTAACTACAGGGAATTTTAGGGCCTTATTAAGCTTATTCCGAAGCGCGAGGGGGTGAAAGTTTTCCCTTGGAATCTCTGCCCCTGCCGTAGGTTGTAGAATAATCTTAGGGACCTTTTTAGGGTCTATTAGGAGGGGTGCCGGGGTTATAGAGGTGGGGGTGGGGGCTAAGGGTACTAAAGCCCCTGAAATAGGGGCCTAGGGTGCTATAGGGTCTTTTTTCCCCTTTATAGCCTCGCTATAAAGGGGTCTAGGCTATTCTATAAGCCTGCGAATTGCCTAAGCTAGCTCGTCGACCTTCTATTCGAGTATAGGAGGCTAGGGGCTTAGGGTTCCGTCGATAGTAGATTTAAGCCCTGTGGTTAGGGTTTTAATCTAAGGGATAGGGTCGAGGGTATAGGCCTATTAAAGCAGCTGAAGAGCCTGTTAGAGTAGTTCCTTAGCCTATACCTTACTAGCCGAACTAGTCGACTTCTGGGGCTTAGCCGAGGTTTCTCCGGGGGCTCTAGCTGTTCTAGGCGCCCTTTTAGCCTATTTAGAGCCTAAAAGGCTCGGTCTTTTAGTAGGGGGGGGCCTAGAAGCAGGGGGGGCTCTAGAGGGCGTTTCGAAAGCCCCTTCGGCTTCCGAGCCTGAGGGGGATTCGATTCGGGTCCTAGAAAAACGTCTAGGGGTTAGTGTAGAAGGGCTAAGATGCCTTTTCGAGTTTAGAGGCGTAGCGAGGGTTAAATCCTCTATATTTTCAGAGGTATTACCTATATCCACCTCCCCTAGGCCCTCTATAGTTATAGGGGCCTTAGGGGTAGGGGCGTTAGGGGCGTTAGGGGTGTTAGGGGCGTTAGGGGTGTTAGGGGCGTTAGGGGTATTAGGGGTGTTAAGGGCGTTATTATAGCTAGCGTTATGGCTAGTGGGTTCTTGTTTATAGCGTTATGGCTGGGTAGAGGTCGGGGGTGCGGCTCTGCGTGGCTAGGCCTGCTGCTTTGTTAGCGTGGGCGCACAGGCCATGTTAGACTTTTCCCCTGTACGCAGAGGAGCTGCAGGCCCTTTTCCATGCATTTTCGCACTCATAATACGCCTAAACTAGCGCCTGCACGATACAGGACTATAAATGGGCGTATAGAGCTTGAAAAGAGCTATCGATTAATATAGGTTTCGAGTGGTTTAGAGCGTTTGTGGGTAACACGTAGGTCCCCCCACGTGAGTTATAAGAAGGATAAGGGCTGTACTTATACCGTACCGACCACGTAAAACTTACCTTAAGAACGATAGTTTAAAAAGAGAAAAAAGGAAAGGAGGAAAAGAAGAGGAAAAAAGGGAGGTTTATAAGAAAAGGGGATAGTAGATTAGCCCTATAAGTTACTATACCTTCTAAAGAATAGTAGCCACGCCCGGCCTACTATAGCACCTACCCCGGAAAGCCTATATAGCGCGAGAAAAGGAGGTATATATCTATATAAGGGCTATTATAAATAGCAGGTATATAATAAAGGTTTAGGAATAAATAATAAATAAAGGAAGGAGTAAGGGGGGTAGGCGCGCCCCCGCCCTTATAAAAGGGAGGGAGGGTATAAAGGGTGCTACGGCAAGGGGATAATAACCTCGCCGGATCCGGAATAAAAGAAAGGACGGCGGCGAGTAACTATAGGGGTAACGCACCGAGGGCGCGTGCGACCTAACACGGCACCTACTAAACTAACTAGCTAACCCCTGTTAGCTATTAGCCCGGAAGTAAGATCCGGTTTTCGAATAGCTATAAAAATAGGGCCGCGGAGTGATACTATAACGGCCACGCACGATAAACTTCCTTATATAATAAGAGCGTAGGGGCTTTTATCTATTAACGGTTTCGGCTCGAAAATTAGAGAAGGACTATTACCTAGGTGGCTAGCCTAGCTTAGCTAAGCGAGAGCAGAGTAATCAATAATACTAATATATAGAAAGTAGGTAATATAAAGTAGGCGGTGCTTACTTAACGTATATTATAAATGTCTCTGTATTTATACCGCCCTTGAAAATATATATATTTATAGGATATTCCGGTAATATATTATAGTGGATTATTACTATTATTCTTATTATTCTTACTCCGCTATCCTATTCAATCTATAGGAGCCTAATTTAGACTATACGGTCCTTCTCGGGTGGCTATATAGTAGATTATATCCTACTCTTTTAGGTGCTATATAGCTAGACATAGGTGCTTTTTATAATTACCCTAATTAAATAAACAGATATCGGCTAAGTAATCGTATATAATAGTAGGTATATATTTCCGGATATATCCAGGTACTAAAAACAGTTAGTGGCGACTGGCGTCAGGTTCTGTCAGTCCTACCCTAGTCGGAATAACCAAGTGCCCTAGTCGGACTAACCCCACCCTTCTGTTATTTTATAGTACCCCACCAACAGCTGCTATCCTGCTAAGGCCAATACTCCCATCTCAATTGCCCACTTTCACCCAGCACATCTCCCATTCTCCTATCTTTGGACAGAGCAGACAGCCAGAGATTCAAGGGGTTGCACAAACCTCCCGTCTATTCTCCTCTGCACGGCATCATCTACCTCGTTGCACTAAACAGCGTGCCCCGCTACCCTGGTGGGAAGCTAGTAGTGACAATACTGGTAGGCGCAAAAGATCTCAAATACACCCGCGAGATCTGTTAGGCCCCGAGAACTTATGTTTTTCTTACGTAACTTGAGCTGAGTATCGATCCAGATTTGCATCTCCCACAATGCCCGCCGACCAAGAGAATGGCAGTCCCTCTGCGGCTGCGCCTGACCATGAAGTGGTTGAGCATTTGAACATCAAGGTCACCGATAACAACAATGAGGTTTTCTTCAAAATCAAGAAGTCTACGAAACTGGAGAAGCTCATGAATGCATTCTGCGAACGTCAAGGCAAGGCCTTGAACACTGTCCGTTTCGTGTTTGAGGGACAACGAGTACAGCCAACAGACACACCTGCTGCTGTAAGAATATTAACCCCAATTCCATCCCTTCTCAGCAACATTGCACACACACCTCGTTGTTCAGATCTTTCATGTTCTTACGGCTGACTGTACCTAGCTGGAGATGCAGGACGGAGATACGTTGGAAGTGTACCAAGAGCAAGTGGGGGGCGCGTAGTGATATGCGACGTCCATTGGATTACTTTAGGGAAAATAAACATATGTCGGGCATACTACTATTTCTTTGGTTTGGCGATATCCATGAGATTCATCGAGACGCCTATATTCTAATACCGGTCCTAAATCCGAGTTACTGAAGACAATAGGTCTCTCCCCCGAGCTTTGCCCCCCTTTAATAGCTAATAAGTACCTAATATAAATGTCTAATAAATATAGGAACTTAATACGGGGACCTTATATTTTAATATTAAGACTATACGTGATCTTTTAGTAGAGATATATTACTACTACTACGCTATATAGATACTATACTTATATATATATTATAGAATATTATAGGTAATATTAATAATAATATTATTATTATCTATCTTACTCCGCTATCCTATCTAATCTGTAGGAGCTTATTTAGGTTATACGGTTCTTCTCGGGTAGCTATAAAGGGGAAAACCCGGGGTAACCCCGGGAAAAACCTCTATACTCTTCCTTAGGTAGAGTAATACCGTTACGGGGCCGATATAGCCTTGGTTTATCTCTGCTATATATCTCGATTATACTCTTAGGCTAGTAGGCTAGGGCTTAGACTAGCCTAGGCTAATCGCTAGTAAGCGAGTAAAGAGCTAAGAGGGTACCGCGGTGCTTCCGTAGTACGGCGGCCGCGGTTTCCTAACCTTAGCCTCCTTATATCCCCGGGAACTACTTATCTTTATAGTTATTTAAAAACAATACGCCTATTAACTATAGGCGCGTAATAAAAGTAAAATTAATAAAACTACTAAGATAGCGATTATAATTACCGCCTCCCTCCTAGGATACTATTATTATTATTATTCTTCTTCTTCTTTTTACTCTACTATCCTATCTAACCTATAGGAGCCTAATTTAAACTATATAGTCCTTCTTAGATAGCTATAAAAAGGAAAACCCGGGATCCCGGGGAAAACCTTTATACTTATCCTTAGGGAGAGTAATACCGCTACGGGACTAATATAGCCCCGGTTCTTCCCTCTATATATCTAGATTATACTTTTAAGCTAATAGCTAACGGGAAGGGTAGTAGGCTATAGTTCGGGATAACCTAGGCTAGTTATTAGCGAGGGGGCGGGGGGCTAAAAGGGTACCGCGGCGTCTCCGCCGTATAACGGCCACGGCACGCTACCTTCGGCCTCCCTATATCCCCGGGGACTATTCCTATTATTCCTTTTACTTAATTAATAAAAAGAAAAGGTAAGGTAAGCGTTCCTGCGTCCCTTAGGGGGTAAATGCCTATTATATCAGGCAGTATAACCGCGCAGATACGGCGTTAGTGTGGTGTTGGTAGCCGGTTATATAACCCCCTTTTCGAGGCTGCTAGATCTATATCCTATATATATAGTAAGGGACACACGTAGGATATCCCCGACGAGGGACTATCATTTAATTATTATCCTCTTATATAATTACTTATTCCACGTTTAAGGTATCTTTCTAGTTTAACTTATATTACCCTAATCAGAATAATGACTACCGATCTACTTCTTCGCTAAAGATTATAGCGGTGTTAGTTATATTTTAGTTATATATCGTGGGTTAGCTAGACTAACCTCTTTATTTAATCTTTATCTTCACGATCTAGTGCTACTACGTCTTTATCTAGTTATAATATAGTGCTTAGAGGCGGATTTATTCGGCGTCCCTAAAGTATTCTAACCCTACTTAGAGTAACGGAGGCGCTTAAGAGAGGTTCCCGCCCTCCTAAACGGACTATTAGTTAACGACCCCTAAAAGATATAAAGATAACGACTAAGGAAGGATTTAACGCTTTAAGACCGAGGGGAGATTAACCCTAATAGATTTAGAAAAAGAAACGACTATATAGGTAAGATAAGAAGCACCTTTAGCACTTTTGATTATAAGACCCGCTACCGCAGAGGTAGTAACTATAAGAATAGAAGAAACCGATTAGATCGCGATAGAGTAGATTCCGGAAATAGGATAGACTCGATAAGGGGCTTATAACCCTTACTACTAATTAAGATAGACTCTTACACGATAGCGAAGAAAAGAAAAAACCGCTAAAAGCAGCTTACCCGGATTAGGGTAACTAACCCCTAGCAGACCTAATAAAAAGCTAATACTAAGTATAGGAGTAAAATAATAATACCTTATAAAAGGACCCAATAATCTAGTAAAGACCTTTACGGACCCTGTAAGCAAGTTATAACACTTCTTCGTAAGACTTAGCGCGTAATATTACTAATATTAATATCTGTGAGTATAGCCCCTTTACAAATAGGTAATCTCCTAATTATAGGGGGCCTCTTCCCTTAAAGTAAGTTAAAAAAGCTAGACCCCGAAAATAAATATTATAGAGCGAAATCTAGGACTATTATTACCCTTTTATTAAAGACTTTATTACTTTTATTAAGATAAGATAATATATATACTAACCTAACTAGTATCTAGAATACCTATAGGATCTTCTCGCTAAATAATTAATTCGAAGAACCTTTCCCTAAACGCCCTAACCCTATTATTATTATTCGCCTACCCCCTCGTACTTATACCTGAAACACTATAGATACTTAGACTTAGTATTATAAGCCTAACCCCGTTATCGTTATTAGCGACTCCGATAATAAGGCTCCCTCGCCGGCTATTCACCTTATTTTCACGCCCGCCACTTCTACTACCCCTAATTAGGGGAACCACGATATCGGGGCTACGGCCTTACCTCCGCCCGCTCCTAGGCCGATTACTATAGTTACCACGGCTCCGACTACTATTTTAATAAATACCCCTATTACTGCCCCTGGATTAGCCTTTAGATCTACTACTACCTAGCCTATCTTTACTGCGTAGCCCGCTTCGAATGCTCCTATTACCGCCGCCCCTAAGCGTTAGTAGCCCTCTACTACTACTAAAGACCTAATTAAACTATTATAAGCCCTAATAAGCCGTGACCGAGAAACCACCATCGCCGAGATTATTAAAGCCCTACCCCTTATTATTACTATGTTAAGAGTACCCCTAAATCCCCTTACTACTAGAGCTCCCCGCTTTAGTGGTAAGTCCCTCTCTATATTCCTTTAGTAGTACGATAACTATACTAAGCTTAACCGCCTTAGTAAAGCCGATAAGATTACCTATATTAACCTATACACGGATACGGCTATTCGTCCCGCCGTTAAACGCCTAGTTAGAGAGGTTTAAGCCGCTAAAGGTAATTAGTCTAATCTAATCGAGAAGCTCGTTAAAAAATACTCTTATCTAGATCCTAACTACTAACTTAACTTCTCTTATGAGGTATATTAGCTTCGAGTAAAATATAAGACGTATAAGATTAATAGCGTTTATTAGGTTAGGGACTTACTATAGTAAATTACTATCTAGAAGGCTAAGGCAGAGCGGGTTTAAGGCACTTTTATCGAAGACTTCGAGCTCTACGGTATCGTCCTTACTATTCTGTATAGGGATATCTATATATTTACCGCTAATAAGCTTAAGATCCGAGGCACTAACTTAAGGAAGATAGTTAAGAGCTATAAGCTACTTTTAGACCTACTACGCGAGTAGTTTACGGATATCTAGGAAGTAGAGGGTAAGCCTATAGATAAGGACGCTATATTAGGTATAGGTAAGTCTAATCAGCCTAATAATACCGCTTTCTAGCCTATAATCTTAAGGCGGCCTATTATAGTCTAGGAATCTATAGCCTCTTAATCGGATATAGATAAGCTTACCGACCTCCTCGAGAAGTATACTATTTCCTTCATCCATAATAGAGCTAAAGGCGTTAGGGGTATTACTGCCTAAGTGCTCGCCCTATCTAAGAAAATAGGCACGGAAAAGGTCTAAGCCCTCCTCGCTATAAAGTCTAATCTAAATAACGCCTTTTATACCGTCCTTAACCACGCCCCTTAGCCTACGATAACTATTTTAGTATACTTCGCTACCCGTAATTAGGCTAATAGTACCGCTTACTAGCCTAATAACGCTTAGTATACCGAGGAGATCTACTACGGAGGACCCCGCCCTAGATATAATAACCGATATAACGATAACTGCCTAACCTAGTAATACGATAACCGCCCAGGATAGCAGAGAGGTACCTAGAATAACGGCCAGCCCTTACTAGCTCGTTACTATTATTACGGCTAAGAAGGGTATCGGAGAGATAACTACCCTATCCTAATCCACGATAACGCCTATAACCTAGTTAAGTGGTAATTCCCCGAATATATAGTAATAGATTAGACCGGTACCTAGGTAGCTTACCTAAAGAGTAAGCTACGGGTTAACGAATACTAGCTACACTAACGCCTTATACTGTATTAGCTAGCCACTAAGCTCTATAGCCGATTTAAGGAGCTCATAGACCTCTATATTAAGACCTTCTAGCCCGTTACCCTTCCCTATAAGACTAAAAAGACTAATAGACTTATTATTAAGTATATAGTTAAGTAAGTATAAAAGTAGTAGGCCCGTTAGGGTAATTAGACTAACTAAGCCACTTAAGCCTTAAGAGTCACTAAAGTCACGGGATCTGTTAACTTTATTACTACTAGAGTATATACTACGTCTATATCTCGACACACTTTAACCGACTCCTAGGACCCTCTTCGCACTACTAAAAACAGGAGAATTAGTAAACCTATACTGAAAATAGCTAGTTCCCCTAATCAGGCTATTCAATAAACCCTATCGACTCCGGAAAGCTCCTAAAAGGTTATAGAAGTAGTTAACGATACCGATATAGAAGACGGACTAGCCCCTAAATTAATAGCCCCTATATCTAGACCCGCCACCACTATAAATACTACCCGGCCTACCTTATAGGCCTCGGCTTAGAAGGATACCCTTAATTTATTTAACTAGGAGGCCGTTATATAGAAAGTCCGCGAGAAGAGTCTGAAGCACCTTTTAAAGATAGAAGTTAAGATTCCTATAGTTTACCTCCTCTCCACTAATAAAGCTATCCTCGCGGATTATAAGGAGATACTACGGTCGATTAGTAGTTAGGTAAAGCCTCGTAAAGTTATCCACTTAACCCCTAAAAAGGCCTTTTTTATAGATTCCTGACCCCTTAGACCCGAACGCCCTATATAGTTTACGAATACCACGACTATAGTCCCTACGCCTAATAGTGCTCTATTTATTATACCCGCCCCGATAATTAATAAACTAAAGCCTCCTACTATTTACGCTAAATATATAATATTACGAGTTAGCCTAACTAAGTAAATAGCTAA